GGCGACAGTCTGTTTCATGCTAGACGCAACCGTCAAACCACAATTGCATCTAGCATGAAACAGACTGTCACCTCTAAGTGTTGACTTCAATGTTCACTTTTATATTTACACAAGCTCTATCTCTGATATTGAGCACTTTATCCCATAAGACTATATTTCTTCATATATCTGACCATGAGAATGAAAGCGGATGAATATGAACACTTGTTGCCAAAAGTGAGTATAATTCGTTCTACCGAAATCTATGTAATCTGTGATTTTTTTTTTCTTTTTCTATTTGTTTGACTAATTTAACATATCTATTTGTGTTCTAATTATTCTAACCTAATTTGTAACCTTGTAAGTTCGTTTAGTTGGAAATCCCTCTTCCAAAAAAAAAAAAAAATGTCTTGGACAGCAGTCTCAAATGTACGTCGCCAGTATTCTTATGTTCTAGTGGGCCAAACATCTTGCTAGATAAAATAATCCAGCATGGAATTGTTTAGCCATATCTTTCTTCCCATTGTTTTTAATTCTATTGAAAGCAAGTACCCCAAACCCATTGTTGGTGGGGGTGGGGGGAATGCCTGTTGCCCCACCAGCTCTGCGTTCATTGAAACAAAGAGCTTGGTGATAAAGCCAGCCTGAACTTTCACTAACTGACCATGAGAATGAATGCAGACGAATATGAACACTTGCTGGTATAAGTGAGTAGGATCTTATGCCATATCCACAAAGCTGGATAACCATTTTTTTTAATTTCTTTTTTAAAATAGGACAATGGAAACTTAGTGTAGTGAAAGGGTGTAATACAAATAAAATACCATTCCTATCCCTCAGTACATACATCTCCTAGTGTCAGCCTGGACACTTTGTCAACCCTCTCCCCCTCTTTTCTTTTTGTTGTTGTTGTATATGTTATATGCAATAGGAGTAGCTAGGCTTTCCTACCGACTGGTCAGTACTCCTCCTCCTTCTCTTGGACAAGAGTAGAGGCTCACACCTTGTTTCTTGTTTAGGTAGGGGTTCCCAGAACTCTCTCTCTCTCCCTCTGGCCTCTGTTCTAGTGTTGCCATGTTTTCTCCCGTGATGTGTGCAGTCTGTGGCATTACCTCTTCATTCTGAGGGTACACAGTTGACAGTTTCCTGGTTGCTGTTTCCAACTGGTAGTTAGGAGCCCTAACTCTTGCGTAGCATCTTAAGCAGCCACTCTGATCAACAGTTGTATAATACCAGGGTGTCTGTAGTGCCATGTCATGCATGGAAAGGTGTCCCTGCAGTCACCTTTGGTGGGCAACCCTGAGGTCACATTATGATGCAGGCAGTGCCAACTTCTCTCTGCCCACATCACAGTCGTTAACTGTCTGCTTCTTTTACTTCAGGCCTTCTCTTCTTCCAACCATAATTCCACATAATGACTAACAAAGATCGAAAAAATAAACCTAAACCAGCCCTTCAAAAATCACAGTTTTGAATTTAAAGTTTTCCATCTCTGAGACTGGTTGTCAACCACTGCTAGAGAGCCCAGCCTTTCCCACTTTTTAACCCATAGCTCGGAGAAGAAATGGATTAAAAAATGAAACACAGTTTCTGATTTCTCACTGTGTTGTTAACCATTAGACCACCTGCATATCCCTATAACACACACACACACGCACACACACACAGAGGAAGCATTGGATAAATTGTCATCTAAATTATACAAAAATTAAAAGAACATTGATATCTCATTTTAACAGATATATTTACCAAAATTACAGAAAAATATCTTCAAATATTAAAGAGTAAAGAGTCTGCAACCCTGTGGGAAAATGAATGGAGGTATAACATTGCCATCACCTGTAGTCACTTCAAACACCTTCATAATCACCATTAAACTCATCCAACTCTTTCCAAATACTCTGAATTGTTCTCAGATTGACACCCAAAGACTCTGAAATGTTCATATTGGAGCTTCCAGCACAAATGCCAAGCAGTACAGCATGCCATTTCCAAATTTCTAGCAGAATGAATTGCAACATGGTGCTCTTTTTCTCACAACTGACCCTACTATACTGTGCAGTCAACAAAATCAAAAACAAACAACACGTATGCGTGAAATTAAAAATATAAAATGGCAACAATTTACCCATTGCACCGATATATATATATATATATATATATATATATATATATATAAAATTATTGGGTCATACAATGACAATATGGAAAAAAAATTATGTAATGTCTTTTGTCCTTTAAAAGGACTTCATCAGTCTAAAATATATTTATATTGATGGTGGGAAAATATAAACAAAATATTGGTTATAATTATGCATCAAGAGGAAACATTAAATATGTAAGGATGCTATGCATCGGCACATAAGAGGCATGCTGAAAAGTATTCAGCCCAACAAAGAAGACCTGTCAAAAAATCTTTTTATTTGGTCATATATTTGTAAGTGGAGCAGGCTGAGAACTTTTTAGCAACCTTTATCAATTTAAGCTGTTTCTACTGACGATCACATTTAAGGTTTGTTTTAATCATATGCTCCAGTAAGAAAAATAATGGTACTGTGCTTATCTTATCCAATACTGCACAAGAAGGTGCTGTAAAGTTCTTAAGCTAATCAAGAAGACCTGCCAAGGAATCTGTTTATTTGGTCATACTTTGAAAAGTGGGGCAGCCTGAGAAGTTTTCAGCACCCTCTCATATAATATATTTTGGCAGCAATTTTCTATTTAAGCAAGTTTTATAAGAGAGTACATGCGAGGTTTATTTTAACATTTGTTTTAGTAACTTTCTCTTTTTTCATACAAGATAAGAGGGGTTTGGTTCAAGTGTGTGTAAAAATTGCCAGTATGTCTATGTCTATGCCATAGCACTTTCAACCATCATTGGTCATTTTTAAGAACATGAATTGAGATGTTATGGTTTTGAAATTTAAGAAAACTTTAATGTATTTGCTTTTTTCATCCGAGTGTTTGATTTCTGATTTATATCTATTTTTCTTTTTCTTTTTTTACACACATTAGAACCAAATATTCTTTATCATGTACTAAAACAAGAGAAAATTACTAAAAATTGTACAAATAAACTATATATATATATATATATATATATATATATATATATATATATATATAAAAACAGATTGAAAAACACAAATAATTAAGCTTTTTATTAATTCTGTAGCGCATTTACATTTTCAAAAGCCTAAATTTTATTTTATTATCTAACTTTAATTAAGCAATGATAAGCCCTAACTTAATTAAATAATGATAAACCCTAACTTATTAAAAAGAAAAATGTATAAATAGTCATGGTAATATTAGCTGTTTCCTTATAAGGAAATATTTGGCATACATTGACCAAGCAGCTAGTACTAATGTCAGTTGAAAATTATAAAATCTTTGTCAAAACAATTTTTCATGAAAAATCTCTGAAATGGTGACCAAAAACTTATTTACATCTCATTTTTGGCTTTATTTAAAGATTCAAATGTTTAATATAGTAAACAAAAGAAATAAGTTTAGGTTTAAGTAGCAAAAGAGAATTTAGTTGTTATTGTCTACTAATTCCCTTCATGGTAGATGGATTCTCATGTGGCCAGGGCCAGATTACGACCTTTTGGGGCCCCTGGTCAAATGTAATTAGGGACTCCCCTCAGACAAAACTACCCTCTAACTCACCCACACCTGACTTGAATATTTTTTATTTGTGATATATTTTAGTGACATTTACAGAGTTTGAAGTAGATTTATTGCAAATTCTTTAAATAAACTAGAATAGCTATTTTTGTTTTTTGTCAATAAAAATATTCCTTAAGAAATACTATTATTTTACTATTTATTGCAAACCAAATTAGCACATATTTCAACACAACTGTAGTAAAAAAAAAACAGATTTTTTTATAATCAGCATTATAACAATAAAACAAAATAAATGTTTGCCATATTGATTTAATTTCAGTTTATGAAACTACTTAGAAGTTATAATATCTAGAAAATTAAAATCATTGCTTTATAAAAGTTTTCAAGATTTAAACATTCTAAACTAAAATCAAACATGTTATCTATTTGAAACACAATGACACAAACTAAAATATTCTTTTCCTTATTTTGCTTTATGCAAAGTCAAATAAATATGTTTGTCATATTGATATCATTTCAGCTTATTTAGAAGTTATAACATCTAGAAAATTAAAATCATTGCTTTATAAAAGCTTAATTCAACCTATATTAGTGTAAAGGATATTCCAGCTCTGCATGTGGCTGATTAGACCAACATAGGAACACAAGTAAGGCATTTGAAAAGACCTTGACTGGCAGTAGAAGAATTTTTCATGTGATATTTTTGATGGTGTTATCCTGCCTGCTGGAGCAATTTTGCTTCTGTGATTTGAACAGCATCCATACAGAGAGCATCCATACAGACAGCATCACCAACTGGTCTAATTACCAGCCAATTTTTTTAATTGGCAAGGGAAGATATTACATATTCTCTAGGATAGCCCTGATTTGGTCTTTATATCACTTGTACTATATCTCTTTCCCTGGCCCCAATTCATCAAAGAAAGCACATCACATTAGTTAGTTCTCAGGCATGCAGATGAGATAGCCAATACAACATAGCTGTTGATCGACAAGCAAGTTTGCTGACGATAAATGTTTCCAAATTTCAACATGCAGTACCTTATCCCAACAAAGTAACTTCAGGATTTTTTTGTAAACAGGATACATGGAATTGGTTAAGAATTGGATTCACAGCCATATAACAGTAATGAAACACATACTGCCTTGTATACAATGACTTTGGTCATACTGATGAGATTTCTCTTCAAGAAGATGTTTGGGAAGTCATCCAAATGCTGTAAATGTAAGCTGAATATGAGGTTGAATCTCTTCTGTCAGATCAGGACTGCTAGCAAGCCTGACTCTGTGCTTGAATTCACCTCTAGATAATAATTAATATTCACAAACCAAGTATTAAAAAAAACCCGATGGAAATAGAAAAATAATGAATTCCAATGAATACTCACTGCATAAGAACCAATAAGAAATGCAGCATTAACTCTCTTCCGGCCATCTAAACTTGTGTAATGGACAATCTTCTTCCGACTCAAATTTTGTGACTAAAAGACAAAAGAAACAATTTATTAAAAAAAATATCACTTACAATATAATGTGTCATTTACAGAGTTAAAATATACATTTAACAGAGAAAAAGTATAACATATTGCCATTATTTAGTCAGATTTTGAAAAAAAAAAAAGTGAAATTGTAATTTCAATTTTTTTATATACAATTTTTCAGCATTGGTCGATATGAATATTACTTTCCTGACAACACATATTGATTGGCTGCAATTAAAAATATAAAAGTTTTAGATAAGTATTTATAAGCCTGAACATGGACTAACTATGAATACAGTTGATTGAATCCTGTGAAAAAGCCAATGAAATATATGAATGTAACAGCTTTTAGATGCTGCTCAGTGGTTTTCCCAATTGCTCATTTACCCAATGTTTATTGCATCGAATACTATGAGATATACAAACACAAGTAGAAGTGGATTCATGCCTTTAGCAAAGTCATTAGTGCAAAGTAAAAGTAAAGAGCTCCAGCCAGATTTTAAACTGCATGGCTGATTCCATTTCCATTATTTCACAATCCTCATTATTCAATCATGTTAGAATTTAAAATCATTTACATGGTCTTGTAGGTAAAGACTTATTCTCCACTCTACAGCCACTTTCCCAGAGACACAATATTGCAATCCTATTGTTATTTCCATGGTAAATGATCAGACAAGCTCTTCTAGTTCAGACCTTTATAGCTAGGACACACCTTGTTAATGTCACAATTACCCTGTGTTCCAAATGCAAGACAGCTTTTTTGCCAGAAACAGACTTTTTTCCGTAAACACTACAATCTCACCCTCTTCAAGTCATGATTCAAATGTTACCTATCTTCTTTATCATTATAATCTTCATTCCCTACCACCACCTCTTTCATTCATATCACACCACTCAATTTAACAGTATCCCTCTATCTTGAGTGGTTCTCTACCCTTGTAGAGTCTACTTGGTGAATTATAGTATTTAAAAAAAACAAACTTCATGATGATTCTATCTAACAGCTTTACTGCATGAACCAAGTTAAAATATTTACATAGCAAATAAAATGTTTGTAGACGATTGATTTTCTGTTACATTAATTATACTTACTGGTCCATAATTCTTTTCTTAAATACCCATTTTATACTGCTGGATATTTTCTAATCAAAATTTAGGTGGTGTTTATTAACAAGTTAACCTATAAAAAAGAAGCTGTTTTATTCATCTTTTTAGAAAACCATTTTATTAAATGTGAGATTCATGTTTTTTTTAATTGTCTTATCAGAAGGAAGTGAAGGAGCCACATTAATCATTCTTCTCCAATATGAAATTATGACAAATATTTTAAAATGTAAAAAATATTATACATTAAAAACTTCAAGAGTAAAAATTATGAAATTATGCAGTTTGAATACATGACCAAAAGTTCATCAAATACAAGAAAGTTATGATTAATGCTAAAGAAATCAATTACTTCATTCTAAAATACATCATTATAAATTTTTTCTTCCCTCATTTCAACAAAATAATGACATTATGCTATATCTGTTATTGTTCTATTGCTGTTAGATTAAGTTCTCCTCCCATAACTTGGTAGGTTCTTACTAGTAGCAACATGTTTATCACCCAAACACTTCTTAATGGACTCAACCTCTCAGATCTATATAAACTGGGCCCAATTCCCTTTGAAAGAGAAACTACCACATGCCTGGAGAACCCATGTCAGTCTGAACCATGGGTTATTAAACACATTATACACTCAAAATTCATTTATAATAAATAAGAGAATAGACTTAAATGTTTGCAATGCATCCAAAAATGTGCTATAAATTTTACATTCTTGCAATACTCACTATCTTCCTCACCAAATCTTTACATATATATATAAATATATTACAATAAGTGTCTGCTGCTAGCAACATTTGAATAATACTTACCATGGCTACAAGGTAGAAACTGAGATAAATTATAGTTAGCAAGTATACCATGCCTATCTGATGCTCTAACAATTTATAGACATAAATGTATATAAGTTCACATGAAACCCAATTTGAATTATGAAACAGAAATGAAAACTGTCTATGATATTGGGAAGAGTAATATTCCAAGAATTGTTTAGAATATTGAGCTTTCTCAGACTTGACAATCTCTATGTAAATGGAGCAGTTTCTGTTAAGTTAGACTCAAGAAACATAAGAAAGCTATATGTAAATGAGAGGCAGAAAAGCCTGACATGACAAACAATATGTGAAAAGAGATTTGACATTATCCTCTATAGGATGAAGTTCATATAACAGATAGGGAACATCATTGAAGAGTGAAAAAGAATGAAAGAAATGGCATCCTGTCAGACAGATGTATAAAGCAGGTAGTGTGTAAGTTTCAGATTTTTCTTTTCTCATCAGAAAGGAACTTTGAGAGCAACTTCATATATAAATATGGAACCACATAAGTTAAGCTGCCGAGAATGTTAAACGAAAATGAGTTGAGCCAGTCAGTATATGATCCACAAACTATTTTTTCTGTAGAAAACAGACACTATCTACCTCTCTTTCCTAATAGATTGTTCACCGGAAGAAGGTCAATAGAATGGATCTGCTCAAACATTGTAGTAACAACAAATGTAACTCAAAAAATTTACTTCAATGGTCGAAATAACTCTGGAAAAGAAATGGAAGCACAAACAAATTGTTGAAACTTCTGACTTTATTTTTATCTCTAAATTCCAGCTTTTGTGAAGTCATACATACATATAAAAAATCATCTTAGATATAAATACAGACATTTAGTAAAACATAAACAACACATTACCAAAGACATGAAACAATATTTTTTTCAGGTCACAAGAAAGAATTTTAGATCTGCTTCTAGATTCTCATAATTGTTGCCAAGACTATAAAAACACACAAGCAGTACACAGTACAGAGAATAGACAATTGGAAAGAGCTTTTGGACAGGCTAAGACATGCATAGAAATGACATGCAAACAGCACATGTAAACCAAGCAACCATTAGGTACCTTCTATACAAGGAAATAACAATAGACTTTATACACATGACAACTGCAAATTTTCTTTAACGCATAAACAACACAGTTTGCTGTAGCCTTTTTTTATAATAAAAACCAATTCCTGTCATTGACAATGAAGGACAAAGAAAGAATGAAAACAAGTTAATCCAAAGAGAAGTTAATTACAAAAAATAGAGACCTGTTATAAGAGATAAAGTTTAGAGCTGAATTAGCTTTTTAATGATTTATTAAAATATTAGGTGTGTGCAAAAGTTCCCAGCACTCTTTATTGAAAACTAGTAAATGAATACACAATTGAAAACTATTTTTACACAAGAAACTTTTGTATAGAACTAATTTAAAATAAACAAAAATAAAATTAATTACATTATAAGCATTTACAAGTTCATATGTGATGGCAACAAATTTGAATTTTGACATTTTCATCAAAAAATTACTTGAAACAGATGCTGTTGAGTCAAGCAGATTTAACAATGCACACATGAACATTCTCAGAGAAACTTTATGCAATGAATTTTGCCAAAATTATCATCTTCCAAATGGCTTTGATTGGGAGACCTACATAGAAGAGGATGGTAAATGAGTTGATCTGTCTTAAGTATTTTGCATTTTTTATGGCCAACAGTAAAATCTGGAAGATGGGGTCTTCAAAGCAGTCACCCACTTGACCAAAAGGGAATAAAATAATAAAGGAAATTTTTTAGGATCAAGAACTTCATTGGATGTTGGTTATTTCTATTCGCAAGCTTATATAAACAGTTATAGTTAGGATTGAGAGTAGTGTTAGATTACCTGTTAGCAGGGCAAGCCAAGCTGTCCCTTGATGTAGTTCTGATGGCATCCATTGCCAGTCACACACTGTGATATAGAGATGGGAAGAGTGGTGATAGGAGAGTTGTTACAGGTTAAAGAGAAAAGTTGATTCTTAGTCTGTCAGGACAGAAGTTGCCCTACCTATCCTCTAGAGCATGGAAATTGTCCTACCTGCCTATTCTATCAGATTGTGCAAGGTGTCCCACATACCTAAACCACCAAACTGTACAAGTTGTTCTGCCTACCTATCCCACCAGACCGTGCAAGTGAAACCCTAAATAAACAACCACATATATTGGAAACTGGATTTAGGTTTTCAATTTTTAAACCATAGCATTAATTTCACTTTCCATTCTCCTTGTAAACATATGATGAACCTTTCTCTGTTTTATGCATATCAAAATAAACAAGAATATAGACATAACATGGGATTATGTGTCTGGTTGGTAAAAAGCTGACAAAGCTTTGTTGTATGTTTACACATTTGTTAAAAGAATCAACATATTAAGCAAACGTATCAAATAGAATGAATCCTAAAAAAGTTCATTCAATCTTAGAAAGGTAACCTCTTCAAATATTTTATGTGTAAGGATAAGATATTATTACAGAGTGATTGATGTTAGATATAATTATGAGAAACATTCCCACAAGTGTTGGTTTACCATAATTTCCAAGCAGGACAGTTTTCAAATGTTTCTATAGGTATTAATTTTCTTATAAGTATTTTCATGACCCAATATACCTTAAGCTTCAGAGCTGACACAAAAAAATAAATATTCATAGCTTATATCACAAAGGACATAAATCTCAAAATGGGACAGTCTCAGTCAAACTAGGATACGTGATAAGCCAACAAAAAGCCCATTTAAGTATATGTGATGTTTTTTGTTAGTGTATTTTTGACATAAGCTAATAAGCACTGATGGTTTTTGATAAAATCTTATAAAAAACAGGTTCATTGTAATTTATTTTTTTTTAGAAAAACATTTGAATGTTAAATAAATTCAAGGTTGGAAGTTAACGTAAATATAATTGATGAGATTCAAATATAGTTCCCTTCTCTACTTTTACATTTTGATTTTTGACAAGTATATCAACTGCTCAAAGAGAAGTATATATAAATGATGTGTGTACAAGTGAAAGAGAGAGAGTGAATTTAGATCCAGCCCAA